TAATGTTTGCCTTGATGAGTTGGACCGCTGGATGGAAGGTAAGATCCAGGAGTTTTATCGGCCCTCAAAGAATGATGTTATTTGGAATAGTCCGGAAGGGGAAGTAGAACAAGGAAATACTTCTTGGCCCGAATTTGTTCCTACGAGTGGGCCTGACAAGACCAGGAAGATTGACTACATCCGTTTTGGTGGTCACATTCTAATAGGGGTAAGGGGACCAAGAGCAGATGCCGCAACACTAAGAAAGCAGTTGATTGAGTTCTGTGATCAGAAATACATGCTCAAGCTTGATAATGAGAGCCTTCCTATTGAACACATAACAAAAGGTATTATGTTTCTTGATCATGTATTGTGCCGTAGAGTAGTCTATCCCACACTCAGATATACTGCTACTGGTGGGAAAATCATTAGTGAAAAGGGTGTAGGGACACTGTTGTCTGTCACAGCTAGCCTGAAACAATGCATTAAACAATTTAGAAAGTTGAACTTTCTCAAGGGAGACAGGGATCCAGATCCACAGCCGTGTTTTAGAATGTTTCATGCTACTCAAGCCCATACAAATGCTCAGATGAATAAGCTTTTGGCCACAATGGTGGAGTGGTTCAGATATGCTGATAATAGAAAAAAGATTGTTAATTTTTGTTCTTATATCATTAGAGGTTCACTTGCTAAGCTCTATGCTGCAAAATATAAGCTTCGGTCACGGGCAAAGGTTTACAAGATTGGTTCTAGGACTCTAAGTCGTCCTCTGAAGGAGAAAAAAGGACAGTCACCAGAATACCATAATTTGCTGAGGATGGGTCTGGTGGAATCAATTGATGGTCTCATGTATACCCGTATGTCCCTCGTACCTGAAACTGATTATACCCCTTTTCCAATGGCTTGGAGGCCTGATCATGAGAAGGCACTGCTTGAATATATAAAGCTGAGTGACCGAAAAACTCTGGATGAGCAACAGAACTTTCTTAAAGAACAAGGTCTGATTTCACCTCAGGATTACATTTCAATGCTTGTTTGGAACTACAAAAGAAACGCTGTTCCAGTAGAACAGAAAAGTTTGTTATTAGGCACAGGTGAGGAAAAAGATAATGAAAGAAATGAAAGTGATGAAGACGATGAAGAAGGGGTTCATGCAGCTGAAGTTTAAGCTAGATTAGTACTTTTTGGAAGTCTTTTAGACAATTTTTTGCCAAAGATTTATTGTACTCTACAAACTTGTGTTACCAAGCAAAGAATACCAGCTTGTATGTAAGTATATCTGATTATATAAATTGAGATTGTTTTCCTGTTCTCCATCTCTGGTTTTTCTGTTTAAGCTTCAGCGTCAGCTTCTACAAGCAAAGTTTATATTGTTATGCTGCTTATGTATTCATAATAGCCTATGAACTTGTCTGCAACCGAATACCCTATATTTCTCCCGGAGAAAGGAGTGAAATAAATGGGAAAAGAAAGAACCTGAGAAATGGTTTAACAAAATACTTTTACCTTTCTCTTTAAACATATTATATTGTTTGAATTAGCTACCATATTGATCAAATGATTCTTCAAGAACAATCAAATCCCTTGTGATATATATTTACTATGTATTGGCATTGATCTTAGTAATAAGAACCGACCAGTTAGCGTCTTTGTTACTTCCATTGCAATTATGCAAAGAGAATGGAATCTTTTTAGTATATGGACAATGGTTGGCAAACTTTAATGTCCATGTGCAGATATTTTTGTGTGCCTAGGCAATGTTTGGCTCTTATAAGTTATATTTAGTTGGACATTTTCTGAGTAAACATCCACTGTTTTGTCATTGGTGTTTTTCCTGGTTGGTACCATCATTGTACTTGATATAGAGATTTTCTAATGCAAGCATCTTTTATTTGTGGGAACCAATAATTCATTTTCTCTGCCTAGTAATGATACTTTTTCTGCAAACTGAGTTGTTAAACTTGAAGCCTCTTTCTTATGCGCTGTATTTAGTCTATTGGATCAAACATCTTATTTTCTAACACTGGAGGAGTGTTGTTTTTTCTTTTTCAGATTTTCAGTAACTGCTTTTATGATCGAAGTTCTTCTACTTAAATACCATTGTGGCCTAAATACTGGAAGGATGGAGCAGATTGTTTCTTTATTTCGTTTTATGAAAATCAACCACTTTAGTGTTCAGTTTTTGTCTTTTCAGCACTTTTATTTTGAAAAGCTAAAGAAGTTTGGATAGTTTTTGGAAAAAGGTTTTTGATAATCTCTTTTGGAGAAAGAGTTTGTGCAAGAGAATGTGTCGATAGTTTTAGCTTTTTGAAGTTTGGTGAGGGGAAGAAGATTTATGGTTCAAAAAGTGCCTCAAAGCACTTCTCCGCCCAAAAATTATTTAGCATGAATCTTTTTGTAAAAGCTTTAGCAAAACAGGGCTTTTTTAAAAACTTCCAAAATTACGAAAATGTTCATGTCCAGACACCTAAATGGTTTTCAAATGGTTATTCTCTTGTTTAAAGACACAGTTAGGGTCTTGAAGAACTGTTTCCTTCATCCTTTCTATAATCTTTATTCCCTGATTTCCTGTGATTGTCGGGTACGATTTAAATTAGTACATCTGAAAATCTGCTTATCCTGTATCGGTCAAATGGGATGCTTAAAATATGTTATAGCGAGATTTATTGCACCTTAAGTCTGCGTCGAATCACTGGCCAATCGCTACCACAAAAAATGAGAAGCTAAAACATTCTACCTTAAGTCTGCGTCGAATCACTGGCCAATCACTACCCCAAAAAATGAGAAGCTAAAACATTCTTTTACCATTTTCAATTAAATATATGCTATTAAAAAAAGGACCTGTTGTACATCATTCAGTGCAGGTGCAAATGAGAGACCTAATGATTATCAAAGAAGAAGAAGGAGATAGACATTGGAGGTCATTCTGCTTTTTTAGGCGGTTTAGTTTGTTTATCCCCCCTACATATCTATATCGGCGCATGTCTTGGGAACTAATCTGCAGTCACCTTCTAGTGAAGAGAATATCGTAAGTTTAGATCTTTGCTCGTAGCTTAATTTTCTATGCTAGTTTTCACTTGTTCTGTCTTCATCTGTTAGGTTGTGATTATCCCCTAATTATGGGGAAAAAATTCCAATGAAATTTGCTCTGAGAAGGCTCTGAGAAGCCACACCAGCTTGGACCACTGTTAGTACCTACTGATCCGTACAGTTCCTTGCATTATTTAGTTCATCTTCGTGTCTCAGGCAGTTCATTGATGGTCTTTCGACAATATATCTTTATGAATGCAAGAATACCCTGCCTTAAGTTTTGTCATAGTGTTTGGTAATTTAACATTGTGGAAATGTTCTGATGGTGTATGCTTTTCTGATTAATGGACTAGCAAATGTTTCTTTTTGTTTAAACACTGAAGGCCATATACCCCAGTTACATTTACTTCTGCTTTGACTAAATTTTCTTGCTAACAAAACCTTGCACTCTGTCTTTGTCGCAATTGTATGTTTCATCAGCAGTATAATTCATACTTGATTACATAGTTCTGTTTTGGTTACATATTTGTTGTCTTCTTCCCGAGTTCTCCTTTATTTGACCTCTAATTTATGTAATGTTTTTAACTACATATAATGTGCAAATACGCTTGTTAGGGGAAAGGAAAAGGGGGAACAGGGGCAACAAGACTTGCTGATTAGTATTTCTACAAGAACTATAAGCAACTCTTTGATGTCCCATGCAGTACACAACTGGTAGTTGCCGAATCTTAAGAAGATACATTAGGTAGATCAGAAGGGACGGAGGAAACTTGCTTAATGATGCACCAGGATATGTCACTCAATTGGTAAAGATTGTAGTTCTCCTTTGCTAGTGGTGCCAACTCTCCTTTCTTCTCAGTGAACTCTTCATCACACGTTGATGTCGCGTCCATAACTGTCCTCATTAGTACATTTGCTGTATTAAAATGCTTAGACAAGAACGCGCCAAAAGCATCCACCAACATGGCAATGGCATCTGCGTAAAGTTCCAAGCAATCTCTTAAGGAGTCCATAGCAAAAGGATCGAACTCTTCGCTGTTAAGCAACTTCTCAATGGTTGAAATCGTGTGTGTCGCATTTTCTAGAGCCAGCTCCATTGCTATGATTCCTATTCCTTGTAAGTTGGTAACATGAGTTACAGGAATTACTTGGAGTGAAGCAACACAGAAGTTGTAGTTAAAGTCTGCTGACTCATCTGAGCACTTTTTGCAGGTTGAGTTGATCAAGTCTACTACTGGTGGGGAACTCAGGTAACAATGTGTAGAAATAAATAGTAAGAATAAGCAGCAAAGTGGGAGGGAAAAGAAAGAGCAATGCCACATTATTTTGGAATTTTAACCTGTTTTGCTGTTTTTCATGTGCTATTGTGAACTTCTACTTATATATACTGAAGAGGAGTAATATAATTACCACAAAAAAAAAAAAAAAAAAAAAAAAAAAAAAAAAAAAAAGTACTACAGAATGGATAGTTGACTGCATAAGGAAACTTCCTGGCAATTCATCAAACCATTCATTTTAGCAAATGTGACAAGGGTTTAGGAAATTTCAGTGCCAAAATTTGGATTTCTCATTTCCTGTTTCAAGTACCAGTTAGAGTGGGAAGAGAGAGACCCCCTAAAAAAAGAAAAAAGAGAAGCAGTTATGTTAGCAAATTTAGCTATAAATTGATGTTTTATAGGTTGGGTACACCAATTTGACTCCCTATTTAGTTTTTGTTCTTCGAGACCTAGTGACGGGGTGTTAATGGTTCGGTTCAGCCGGTTATTTTATAAAATTTATATCATACTAATTTTTCAGTTATTCTATTATGTATAACCAAAATCAAACTTTTCAAAATAGTCTCAATCATGTCGGTTTCTCTTCGGTATCGATAGGGTTCGGTTAATTTTTGGATTTTTTTTAATGTCATATAAAAGTCACTAGTAGAAGTAGAATGCAATAACATATGCAATTTTATGGGGCATTTTCTAGGCATTTTTACTGTTTAAAGGGTTATGCATTAAGAAAACATGAAAGGTGGCCAGAGTATAGATCCATCAATCATTCTACAGCAACGTAAAAGAAACTAAGCAAAGACAAAGAAAACATAAATCACACGAGTAGAAAGATATTAACGAAGCTGGGTCCAAATTAAGAATAAAGTCTATAGAAGATTAAATATTCAACATGATAAATCCAAATACATATTCAATACATTGAAGTTTGCTACTCATAAATGCTAGAATACCTTGTGTCTTGCTAATGAATATGCTGAAAATAATTTAGTTTCAACTGGAGTAGCATAATAGGTTGAGAATTAGGATTTTGAGTTTAATTACTTATTGGCTTGTAACTGTTTTCTTCCAAGACCCAAGGAAAAATCTAATTCATTATTATTTTTAAACTTAATGAAAATGTTGGTTTATGTTTAGTTAACAATGGCATGCTGAAAATGTTGGTTTATGTTTAG